ATTAAGACCCCACGGTTTGATGATTGATAGGTGTGTGGGTTGTCTTTCATTTTGACACGCAGAAAAATGTTATAATAAACATAGATACTGTATGTTAAATGGATATATCCGCCTTCTTTCATTTATCTTTCCATTCCCACAACAATATGCATAAATAAATGGCATATTTTGGACATAGTTCGAATGGTGATTAATCATGATTAATTAATTTTTAAACTGTGATTAATCTGATTAAAAATTGTAATCGTTTGACAGCCCTACTTTATATATGTAACCTTCCATTGCAACTTATTTTCTTATGTTGTTTATGTTCGCACCACCAGATACTAAATCTACTTCCTTGTGTGTGTAAACGGACCTGGAAATAAAGGTGGTTCTGATGAGGGACTGCATTCAGAAGAACCTCTGCTCTACAGTAAACTAACCTAGGATGGTGTCAGCCTAACATAAACATGACTGCGTTCAGATAACAGGTTCAACCAGCAGGGATTCTGAACCAGAGGCCTTTAAATACTCAGGTAGAGTACAAGTACATCAGCATGGTACTTTAGTACAGTACATGAGTATATATACTTAGTTCCTTCACGCCACTGTCTGTATATACAGTACACAGAGGTGAGAGCAGATCAGAGAGTATTGATCCAGTGAGAACAAATACTCTCCTCTATCAGTTGAAGAAGGTCGTCTACAATCTACTGTTGGTTTTATAACCAAAGTATTTCCCTGTTTCTCTTCCAGGTCCCAGAGGGTTACCCGTTGACCCGTGTCCATCTCAAAATGGTCCGCAGGCATCCCATAATCCTGCGTTTGGGGGGAGAGACGTTCTTCCTGTAATCAGAGCACTGGGTTCTCTTGGAGACGCTCTCAAAGTCTTTGAGGACAAAGTCAGAAAAAGCCAAGAAGAAGACATTTGTTGAGCTCTTCTTTGTCTTCATCACCCCGGGTTCATTAATGTCCAATCAAATGTTCCCGTTGATTTGTAACTCTTCTAAAGGAGCTCTGCCTGGTGTCATTGAAACGGTGGTAAAGGTTTGTGTGCATGTAGTGTTTATGAAATGTGATCAGATATTGTTGTAACCTTTAAAGGTCCCCTATTATGCTATGTTTAGCCATATATTATGGGTCTCAGATATATATAAAAAATATATCTATAATGTGTTTTGCTCAAAATACCAAACAGATCATGCATTTTAGAAATCCCTCATATCCCTCTATTTTAGCCTGTTAGAGAAATGCTGATTCGGGGTCCTTAGTTTGAAATAAAACCAAAAAGAGGAGGGGGAGCTTGTGCCTGCTCAGAATTCTACGGAGATAGAGCTGAAAAACGATGGTTGTTACCAAGTGGCTGAATAGGGCTACAGAAGTTGTGGAGGACGTTGTACGTCATTACGCCGAACACGTAAACACTCCCGCTAAGTTTGTTTGCCCCTGTTCTGCTTGAAAGCAAGTACCTGCCTCCTGCAAACTGTTAAAACAAACGCTTGAACTTGTACAATTTTGAATCTGTATTTTTGAATATGGATCTTAAGTTCGCGTGACGTTGAAGTCGTGCTGCTGTACTCAGCTGTAGTTCCTTTATAGCATAACGTTAGCATTTTGCTTCTGGCGGTTAGATTTATGATTAGAACATTATAAAAGTAGGGTAGACATGTGGAGATTATCCGGCTGAATAAAACGTGCATTTCTCAAACAGGTTTGTTTTCCACAGACCTTATTTCGAGCTATTTTCCAAAATCCTATGCAGAAATCCCGTTGCTTTTTTGTCGAGGGAACCCATGCAGCTTACTTCCGGGTAAATACGTCATCCCTGCACCACTCTATTTCCTGCTTTTTTACACATACTTTCTCCAGTACAGGTTAGCTCTGATTGTTAGCGATGCTTGCTTATGTAAACAAAGACCATATTACGTCCAAAACAGTCGGGCATTGTTTCTGATAGCAACATTTCTGATATTACGTCATATTGGATGCAAATCTGGATCAGATCCGTCGTTCTCCCGTTTTTAGAGATATGGAGGAAAAGAGAGAGGGCTTTATTTTCTGACAATTTGTGAGTTCCCTGACACACCGGGGACACATGTTTATGTATAAAATACATACAAAAAGTGCCTTTTGCATGATAGGTTCCCTTTAAAGATGTGTTCTCTGTAAAAAAAATGATGTATAGTTAACATTAAGCTGTCTTTGGCTCTTTTCTGCTGTAACAAATATAAATGTCCCCTCCGTGGGACGAATAAAGGTTTTCTGATTCTGATTCTGTGATGTCTTTCAAATGAAATGCATGAGCAGCTGTGCAGAGAGTGGATTCGGTTTATTGACGATTGACGGGGATCTGTGTCCACAGCAGAGGCCCTGCAGTGGCTTATAGCCTATACCTGAGGGCTGGATCAAATGGTTTCACTGGTATAGAGAATTGTAATGTAAATTAGCTACAGGAAATGGATAATTGGTTAAGTGGTTAGCTAGTAGCTCCCAAGCGCCTTTTTTTCTAGGCGCAACCAGGCGCCAAGAGTTGAAAATATTTCTACTTTTGGAACGGAGCAGCGTGCAACGCTTGTCATGTGACGAGGAACAACCAATCACAGCCGAGAGATATCTTTACTTTTATGGCTTAGTTGAATACTCGATTCTGATTGGTCAATTCAGAACACGTGACACGTTGATAATCCAGAACAGACAGACCGCTGTCAAGGATTTATTGACCGTTGTTAAGGACGCTCACATCTGCAGAAAGAAGTTCGGTCGATTTAACTGTATACAGTTTGGCCGAAAAGCAAACTGCAGGCATTTCAAACTGGGACAAGAAAAACAGCGGAGAAGTAACGGGCAGAAACCCTCCTTTTTACGCAACGGTCCAGACATAGACATCAAACGGCGACACATATTCAGTTGCCAGTTACTTTGGCATTAGGGCAGGGATATCTAGATACTTTCCAAGGTTTGACATCATGAATTGTGCTACTTTTAAAGCAAGCAACGAAGTTTTCAAATCTGTAATCAAAAAGCTCCTCAAAAACGCTATCGAAGCAGTTCCTGCCGTTGCTACGTTAGTTCAAATAGTAACAACAGACTATTTCTCTTAGCGGATGCATGTCATTTTAAATAAATAATAGCGTACTATTTTTTAAATCAATACAAAGATTTTCTAAATCTATAAAAGCATTTCAATTAATATTGGGAGTCATATCGTTACTTTGTTGAGAATGTGGCCGTGTGATAAGCGGGATAATGTGCAGCGACTTGGTCATTATGGGGAATACATAATACACAGCTGCAAACACTTACAGAAGGTTAATGGGCAGATAGAAGGTTAATGGGCAGATAGAAGGCGGCGGCCGTAACACTGCATTACTGCCATCAGGTAAGCACACAACCATCCATCCATCCATCCATCCATCTTCTCCCGCTTATCCGTGGTCGGGTCGCGGGGGTAGCAGTTCCAGCAGAGAGCCCCAAACTTTCTTTTCCCTGGCGACATCAACCAGCTCTGACTGGGGGATCCCAAGGCGCTCCCAGGCCAGCGAAGAGATATAATCCCTCCACCTGGTCCTAGGTCTACCCCTTGGTCTCTTCCCAGCTGGACGTGCCTGGAACACCTCCCTAGGGAGGCGCCCAGGTGGCATCCTAACTAGGTGCCCGAACCACCTCAACTGGCTCCTTTCGACGCGAAGGAGGAGCGGCTCAACTCCGAGTCCCTCCCTGATGACCGAACTTCTCACCTTATCCCTAAGGGAGACACCAGCCAGCCTGCGGAGAAAACCCATCTCGGCCGCTTGTATCCGCGATCTCGTTCTTTCGGTCATGACCCATCCTTCATGACCATAGGTGAGGGTAGGAACGAAAATGGCCCGGTAGACAGAGAGCTTTGCCTTCTGGCTCAGCTCCCTTTTCGTCACAACGGTGCGGTATAGCGACTGCAGTACCGCTCCCGCTGCTCCGATTCTCCGGCCCATCTCACGCTCCATTGTTCCCTCACTCGAGAACAAGACCCCGAGATACTTGAACTCCTTCACTTGGGGTAAGGACTCATTCCCTACTTGAAGTGGACAGTCCATCGGTTTCCTGCTGAGAACCATGGCCTCAGATTTGGAGGTGCTGATCCTCATCCCAGCCGCTTCACACTCGGTTGCGAACCGATCCAGTGAGTGCTGAAGGTCGCAGACCGATGAAGCCATTAGAACCACATCATCTGCAAAAAGCAGTGGTGCAATCCTTAGTCCACCGAACTGCAGACCCCCTCCCCCATGACTACGCCTCGAAATCCGATCCATGTATATTACAAACAGGATTGGTGACAAAGCGCAGCCCTGGCGGAGGCCAACCCTCACCGGAAATGGGTCCGACTTACTGCCGAGGACTCGGACACAGCTCTCGCTTTGGGAGTACAGAGATTGGATGGCCCTGAGTAGAGACCCCCTCACCCCATACTCCCGCAGCACCTCCCACAGTAACTCCCTGGGAACTCGGTCATACGCCTTCTCCAAGTCTACAAAACACATGTAGACCGGATAAGCGTACTCCCAGGCCCCCTCCAGGATCCTTGCGAGAGTAAAAAGCTGATCCGTCGTTCCACGACCAGGACGGAATCCGCATTGTTCTCCTCAATCTGAGGTTCGACAATCGGCCTGACCCTCCTTTCGAGTACCTTAGAGTAAACTTTCCCGGGAAGGCTGAGTAGTGTGATGCCTCTGTAATTGGCACACACCCTCTGATCCCCCTTTTTAAAAAGGGGAACCACCACCCCGGTCTGCCACTCCTTCGGTACCGTTTCCGACTTCCACGCAACGTTGATGAGACGTGTCAACCATGACAGTCCCTCAACACCCAGAGCCTTCAGCATTTCCGGGCGGATCTCATCCACCCCCGGGGCTTTGCCACTGTGGAGTTGTTTGACGACCTCAGTGACCTCCCCCCGGGAGATTGGTGTTGATCCCCCGTCATACTCCAGCTCTGCCTCTAACATAGAGGGCGGAGTTGTCGGGTTCACACAACCACAAAAATAATATTCTCAATGACAGCCATGCATTATAACTGTACAACTCTCAAGCAGGAACAAACATGCTCCTTACTGTTTTAATTTATATAAGCTTGATATGTCTGCCAGCAGGTGTCCCTCGTTTCCCACTAATCTTGGGTTATGCTTCTCATTCTCTGTTAGATGGAGCAAAAATCATTCCTGAATTATGTATTCAGCACATTTAGTGGGATTATTTTCAGTAATACTTTAATAGATTGTATTAAACTATCATTTATATTTCTTCATTAAAGTGATTTTTCCTCCAGTTTCTGAATTTCAATCTACAATGCTTTTTGGTGTAGGGCATGGGTCGGCAACCTTTTGGAAAAAATGTGTGATCAGTGTACACTCTCTACCACTGCTTACCTCTAATGAGCCTTGGTAGAACTAGTGTCCGAGTCATGGGGTCCAGAACAGACTGAAGACATGTGGAACAGAGGACAGGCATGGTTCGATGTACAGGGAACTGGAACTTTGAACAGGTGTTTTCATCTTTTCTGCCTGAAGATTCACAAGTTCTTGATCAGGTGTTTGATGTGGGCTGGCATGATCCTTTCTGCATCGATGAATAAAGAAAACAAAGAAAACGTTTTTAATAATAGTAATGATGGTAACAACAATAATAGCAGTATAACTATTTATATAGCACTTACACATTTGCAAAGTGATTCTCACAACAAAAATAAAGAACAAAACAATATCAACAATAAAAGAATAGGAATGTCAAGAGACAAAGAAGAGGCCGACTACAAAAGGTAGACTCAATGGCTCTTGATGACATCAATGAGCAGTCCCAATAGATGCTGTTGTATAAAAAGAAATAGAATAGGTCCAGATTTCTTCTATTTTGTGTTGGATAATTTGTTTTATTGATTGCTGATGGATGTATATATATAGGGTTTAATCAACAGCAGTAAAGCATTAAGTTGCTAAATGAACGTACACTGAACTGTAAAACAACTTACCACTATTTAGGAAAGGCTCTGATCAGGAGGGTTTACTAGTAGGAGAGCAAAGAGGTGGAGGAGGTCTCTGTCATGTACAACCATTGGTAGATGTTACACCTGAAAGAAAGATAAGGAAATAAGAGAAGACAGGAGGACAAACATCCTCTTGAGTAAAAGACCAATCATGTCAGGCCTGTTTTTTCAGTCTTTACAATGCTCTGTTGGAAAATACATTCCAAAGGCTAAATTCAAACTCAATACCATAAATAACTGGGTACCAAAGTGCTTTACCTGATAGAACACGTTACACATGGAGCAGCAACCATACGGCTCGGCCTTTTGCTGCATATCATCTCCTCCCTCTCCACTGTTTCCAGTAGATCTCTACTGTTCAATAAAACTGAAGTTCCCCAAAAAATCATATTAAAAAAGTTAAAAACAATGACTTGCTGTTGGCATTGAAATGGATTAGAATCTCACAATTTTCCTGGATGTCAGGAAGGCGTTCCCTTCAAGTCCGCAACCAGTCATAGGGGTTCAAATGCAAAGCCTAAACAATGACAAGAGCGGGAGACTTACATTTTGCAATTATATTTTTAATTCATACCAGAGCAGTGTGTACATAGTACACATAGTACCTGTACGACATGCAAAAACAGATCAAATCCCCTGAAAGACTCACACACTTTGGTGATGTCCTCATCTGATAATGTTTCATTTTTTAGCAGCAAAGTAACATTACTCAAAGTATATGTCGGACCCAACTCATTTACAGTATGTTTTGCATCTCCTCAACAATGGTCTGTATCATTGAGTAGAAAAAAACTGTCCCTAAAATTTCAGGTAGATTAACACACATTTGTAAGAAAAGTTCACAATGAAGCACAAAAACCCTTTTTGTATTAAGCTAGCTGCCACACAAAGTACAGCTTAACATGCTAACCTTTGGTAGAGAGCTACAGTTAGCTAACTTCATGTTCAACACAAAACCTCTAATGGCATTACATTGACGATTTTAAACAAAACGTAACTCTCTCAACTTGTAAGATAACGTTAAGTTAACTTACCCTTAAATAACTACATCACGTTTTTCAGGGGAAACACAAACTGCAGAAAACTTTAGCTGCTAACTGTTGTTAGCTAAGACAGCTAGCTTCCTAGCAAACGTAAGGTTAAGTTAACATCAACGTAACGTTGTAAGAAAGCAAAACGAACCTTCGAGAAAGCTTTTACTCTCAGAATTGGTGAAATTGTGTAGTGTTGCTTACCGCGTTTCCCAGTAGACAGAGTTGTCAGAGCGGTGCCTCTCAGAAGAGCAGCCGCTGGGCGGAGTCACAGAAACGCTCAACTGATCTTCACTCCTCGACCGTTAGTGCCAGTCAAAACATACCGCTTTGTTTCAACCACTGCCGTATCGCCGTTCCCCCGTGTCATCCCCTCTCTGTCTGTCTGTGTCTGTTTCGCCAGCAAGACTGCTGGTAGACCAGCATAAATACCAGCTAAAACCAGCATAGACCAGCATGACATCCATGCTGGGCTATGCTGGTTTAACTGACCAGACTGGTCTTGAACCAGCAAGAACAGCCTGACCAGCTTGTCCAGCCTGGTAAACCAACTAAACCAGCCTAACACCAGCTAAAACCAGCTAAAACAAGCAACCATCTTAAGCTGGTCTATGCTGTTTTTTTCAGCAGGGAAGTACGGTTGAAACAGTTAGCTATTATATAGCTATAAGTAGAGTTGAAACAGTTAGCTAAAATGTAGGCACTTCTCCACGGCCTCCACTGCGAGAGGAAACTGCAGCCTTTCTCTCCTCACTACCTTCTGTCTGTAACATTACCGCGCCATTTAATTAAAGTACCCATTTGAACCTTTCTCAGAGACTCCATTGTCTCTTACTTTTAAAGCTTCTCTCCTGGACGTGAGAATAACGAATACCCTGATAGTAGCTCTAGGTATGGTTGAAACAGTAAGCTAGCAGTTAGCTATAAGTACATTTGAAACAGTTAGCTAATAGGTAGCTATAATAATGGTTGAAACAGTTCTCTAATATTTAGCTATATGTACAGTTTAAACAGTTAGCTAACCGATAGCTATTAGTACAGTCGAGTCAGTAAGCTAATAGTTAGCTTTAAGTATGGTGGAAACAGTTAAGAGTAAGTTAAAAGAAGAGTTGAAAAAGTTAGCTAATAGTTAGTTATGGGTACGATTGAAACAGTTACCTAATAATTAGCTATAAGTACAATTGAAACAGTAAGATAGCAGTTAGCTATAAGTAATGTTGAAATAGTTAGCTAGCAGTTAGCTATAAGTACGGTTGAAACAGTTAACTAATAGTTAGCTATAAGTACAGTTGAAACAGTTAGCTAATAGTTAGCTATAAGTACAGTTGAAACAGTTAGCTAATAGTTAGCTATAAGTATGGTTGAAATAGTTAGATAATAGTTAGCTATAAGTATAGATAAACAGTTAGCTAATAGTTAGCTATAAGTACGGCTGAAACAGTTAGCTAATAGATAGCTATAAGTATGGTTTAAACCAGGGGTGCCCAACCTTTTTTGAACCGAGAGCTACTTTTAAAGTTGCCAGTCTGCCGAGATCTACCAGTCCAAATAGAGAGGTGTAGCCATTACTGACAGCCTACTACCAGGTAAATACACACTTCTACTTGTATTAAACTGACCTTTGTACGATTAATACTTCATAAAATACTGCAGATCCTTTATCTTACCTCTTTCTAATCTACACACATACAAGTATTTAACTGAAGCTACACAACAGTGTTGTTGATACAGAGTTGGAGTTTATTCACACGTCACACTACAGTGGGTAATGTTTTCAAGAAGCATTGAACAGTGCTGCCACATATGACACAGGACAAAAAGAAAAGACTCCTTTCTTTGCCATTATATAAAAATAGTGTTGCTACAAAAGTATAAATTAGGCTTACTAATAAGACAACTCAGATCTGAAGCTACACAGGAATCTGCTGCCAAAGTGCAATAAAAAAGACAAAATTAACAGAATCAACCCTTTTTTTGTTGCATTTTAGTAGAGTATAAAAAGAAATGCCTTTAAAATAGGATGCAAGCAACACTAGTTTCTTAACCTGAATTGATAATAGACTATATCAATTTAAACAGAACAGATCTTAATGTTTGCATTCTTATACCATTTTGTACAATAATTATAATGCATAAGTTCAAACAAACTAAAACTTTCAGCAGATTAATAACGATATCTAACTTGAGTTTTTATTATATCAAAAACCTGTTGAAATGCTACTGTTATTTTTACTGTCCCCAAAAAGCGCGTCGGCAGCCTCCAGGAATGCTTCTTTCACAACTTCGCCGTCTTTGAAAGACTTCATGTGTTTCGCAAGAACGTGACTGACACGATAAGATCCTATGGTAGCAGCCTTGCTCTTGTTGTTGGGCCTGGTGGAAATTGACTGCTGTGCATTTAGCTGTCCTTTCAGGCCCCTCCCCTTTTGGAGCGTAGGGCAGAATTAGGAGGGAATTCCGTCTCGTAGCGTTTGTGCACTGTTTTGAAATGCCGCTCCTAAATTACCCTTCTTCGATAAAGCCACGCTCGCATTGCAGATGAGACAGATGGACTTTGAATTGGAATAATCATCCTCCCACTCGAGTGAAAATGATATATTTGGGGCTTTTTTGCTTCTGCCATTGCGGTCTTGTGTGTGTGCGGACTGTCACTCCTGTTGACACGGACAACGTCAGCTAACTAGTGCCCACTGCCCACAAGCCACGCCCCGACACATGGGGTCACGCCGGCCAATCACAAAGCTTTGATGCGTTCAAGTGCATTATTCTGGTACAGGAAGATTATGTTATGGGACATTACCGATAAAACTGAATATTGTTGTTCTATTTTTAGACACATCTCGCGATCGACTGGGAATCTCCCCGCGATCGACCGGTCGTATCGACAGGTTGGGCACCCCTGGTTTAAACAGTTAGCTAATAGTACGTTAAAAGTACAGCTGAAACAGTTAGCTGATAGTTAGCTAGGGGTACGGTTGAAGTAGTTAGCTAATAATTAGCTATAAGTACAGTTGAAACAGTTAGCTAATAATTAGCTATAAGTACATTTGAAACAGTAAGCTAGCAGTTAGCTATAAGTAATGTTGAAACAGTTAACCAGCAGTTAGCTATAAGTAGGCTACGGTTGAAACAGTTAGCTAATAATAATTTAAAAGTACAGTTGAAGGCCCGCCACTTAGCTCACCTGGTAGAGCTGGTCCACGTATAGGGACTCAGTTCCCATGCGGAGGACCCAGGTTCGAATACGGCCTGGAACCATAAACGCATTTCATCCCCTCTGTCTCCCCCTTTCAACACTGTCATCTCCAATAAAGGCTAATCTGCCCCCAAAAATGATGTACAATTGGAACAGTTAGCTAATAGTTAGATATTTGTACGGTTGAAACAGTTAGCTAATAGTGAGCTATAAGTATAGTTGACACAGTTAGCTAATAGTTACCTATAAGTACAGTTGACAGTTCACTAATAGTTAGCTATGAGTACCTTCGAAATGGTTAGCTAATATTTAGCCATAAGTACAGTTGACACAGTTCGGTAATAGCAGGGCTGCCAACCCTCACATATTGAACGTGAGAGTCACGCAATTAACACATATATCACGCACTCACGCCACACATGCCTTTCCTCACGCTAAGTTTTCGTCCAAAATAAATGTATATTAAAATAAAGTGAAGGAACAGTACACCGAACAGTCTGCGAAATGAAACTTGCTGTTTGCGTCGCCTGACAACCGCGGTCTGTAGCACTGTCGCCTAGCAACCTGGACAGCGACACCCTGTTGTTCATGTTTTACAGGGCACAGGTGTGGGCCGGTTTGATAGACTCTCCACGAGGGTTCGAGACGTTATGACAATATGCCTGCACTCAGGGACGTAGTGCTTCCGCCGGACAGCACCTTAACGCCGCTCCGAGCGAGAGAGACAGACAGAGCGCAGCGGTACCTGGCATTGTTGTTGTTAGCCTCTGGTTATTGTTGAGATCTTCATATGAAGTGAATACTTAAAACGAAAGTTAATTGAGATCATGGTATGAAGTGAATACTTAAAACGAAAGTTAATTATAAATCATACATGATCAATCATATTCTTGTATAAACCCATAATGAGAATGCTTCTTGACGGTTTTTGAATATGTATCTATGCTTACAATTTTTTCTGTTGCTATTTGAGAACTTTGCGTTTTGAAAAGAGGGTGTTGTGAGTTTTCATAGTATGTTTAATACTTAAAAACGAAAGTTAGTTATAATCAAATATAATCAATTATATTCTTGTATAACCCACAATGAAAATGCTTCATATTTTAGGTTTTCTATAGTTACAGTATAAACAAAACAAAGTGGTGTTTAGGTTGAGTTTTCTTCCTCTCCTCTGGCAGCAGTCCACAGGGAGGGGGGGGGGGGGGGCTTCACACTAAGGGGAGAAACATTAAGAGGCCAAAGAGAGTTCATGTCCTTTTTACCTCATATGAAAGGGTGTCTTATCCCATAACAGCTGTGGAACATGTTGGGACATGTTCAGCCTTGTACATTATGCGCATGCGCGGTTTTCAACTGAATTGGGTGCAAGAGGAGGAGTTTGTTTTTTTGGGTTTAGGATCCAGTTTTTTTAGCATAAAGAGACTGGTTTTTTGAGAGAGCGCGAGAGAGGGGGGGTGACCCCTGGTAGACTCTCTCCGGGTAGGCTGTGTGCTTCAGAGCTGGGTTAATAGCTCTCGGTAAGGTCTTTCTAGACGGGGTAAATATCTCTCGAATTTATTGGTTGTTGGCTGAGTGGAATGATTTGATGAGAGAAAGTGTGTGAACCTTTATAAATACCGCGACCTGTGGGGAAAACATCTGGTCCCCCGAATTTTGCGGATAGGAATGTGTTTTTGAAAGGTTAATCCGCCGTCTGTGTCGGAAAAAGTGTTTGAAAATTATAAATACCGCGACCTGTAAGGACCTTCCTTCGAATTTTGCGGTAGGAATGGGTTTTTGAGTGTTAATCCGCCGTCTGTGTCGGAAAAAGTGTATGAAAACTGAAGTGAATAAATGGGTGAATGAAAAGTTGAATGCGCTTTTTATTGTCACCGGTCTTTTTACGAGGAAATACCTCTAAATTCTATCGGGAGAATTTTAAAATGTCACAACTGAAATGGGCAGTTGAAATTAAAACATTTTGGTAATAAATGTAAGACTGTGAATTAAAGTTTCATTTGAACATGATCACAGCACGGTTTTTTTGTTAGGATGATTATAATGTTGTAAAGAGAGAAGGTAAAAACCCTGTATTAGTTTGGACCTATTTTTCTTCAAATAAACTGAATCCCACCTGTTGGATTGGGATCCTTTAAAAGACACCTGTGCCCTCCTCTCCTGCGTCAAAGGTAAGATTGCACCCTGCCACACACACTTA